CTTACATATAAAATTTCATCAAAATCGGTTCAGCCGAACTTAAGATACACGCGTGCAAACACAGCAAACAGACCGACAGGATGACCAAAATAGCTTTTTTACTCTTCCGTTCATGGAGAAGCACGTTCCCACCAAAAACTCGATATGCAAAATTATGCAATATGGTAATGTACATATAAGAAGTAAATATCCAAAGGAAAATTTTAAGATTTCTCTATGTAAAATTTTTCAAATATCTTAAGAAAACTTTGTTGAAAGAATTCTCAAGCTTTAATTTTTAAACGAAAGATTAATTTAGAAAAATATAATATTATTCTTTCTAAAGATTGAATGTTTTAAAAAATTTAGTTTAAAATTTCTAAACCTACATATATAGATTTTTTCTGTTGTGAATACTTGAATAACGTTTAAAATTAATTTAAAATTTGTATTTGGTGCCTTAGTTATTAGAAACCGAAAATACTATATTTTTACAAACGGGATCCGGTAGAAGGATGTGTTGAAAAGAAATTTGTGTGCCGATATACTATCAAAAATCATAAATTAGGGTCCAGGCCTATTAATTAAAAAATTAGCCAAATATTTAAACAATTTCTTTCAAAAAATTTTAAGTTTTAAATTTTTAGGTTCTTTTTTTTGGACAAATTAAATTGGTGTTTATAATAATTTTGCCAAATTACTAGAGAACCTTTTTCTTTAAGTTGTTTTTTACCGAAGGAAGGAAGAAAGCATGAATGTTACTAACACGGCATTCCCTAGCAACCCATAATTAGTTATGTGTTTTACCACAAAAACCTCCTCCTCATATTCTGATGCTAGTCCAATTAGACCAACCATCAGATTTTCTTTAATATAGATTGAAAAAGATTTAACGCTCCCCGATTTGGTGGAGCGCATTTTGCGCTAAATCAGAAGGCAAAGTCCTCTTTAGCCTTCCAGGAGAATCTCGGATAACAATGAGCCAAGAGGCCTCCACATTGACATGTTACCCCAGACGAGCTCTATGTCTCACCGCCCTTTCTTCAATTTTGTCAACTACACATGAAATCTTTAGATCTCTGTGCAAATCTTCATTTCGCACATACCAAGGGGCATCCACCATATACCGCAAAACCCTATTCTGGAACGTTTTTATTCACAGGACATGTATTTGTTTGGCATATCTCCACAACTGGATACCATACAACCAAACCCGTTTAATAATTTGGTTATAGAGCACCATCTTATTCTGTATCGGAAATCTCGACTTACGACCTAGGAGCCAATACATTTCTTTATATTTTAATTCTAATTCTGCCTTTTTCTTTTTAACATGTTCTTTCCATTTTAGCTTAATATCCAGTGTCATTCCTAGATATTTCGCCGCATTTTCCTGCGCATCATTTACCCCATTTAAATTAACACGTGGGGGGTTTACAAGAACTTTATTTGTAAAATTTACTTGTGCAGACTTAGTTTTATTTACTTTTATTTTCCATTTCTTGGTCCAAGCATCAAAACTACTGCTTGCCGGCTGCAACTTTCTGGTGACGTCGTCAATATTTGATGCTACTGCCATAAATGCAGTATCGTCTGCACAATGTAGCCACAGTTGTGTTTTCTATTTGAGCATCTCTTGTAAAGAGTTGATATAGTATTAAACCCAAAATACTGCCCTGAGGCAAACCTGCTCTTATTTCTCTAAGTGTGAAATAGTCCCCCTCCAGTTTGACTCTAAATAATCTGTCGGTTAAATAAGAAGAGAAAATATCCACGTATTGCTTTGGTAAATTTTTTTTAACTTGTATATCAATCCTTCGTGCCAAACCTTGTCAAAAGCCTGCGCCACGTCTACAAAAATTGCTACACAAATTTGCTTTTCCTCTAGGACTTGTTCAATGATATTTCTTATTCTATGAATAAGAAATTATTCATAAAAATTATTGATCAGTAGTTGAATGTCCTGTTCTAAACTCAAATTTGTGGTTCGGAATTAATGACCTCTCCTCAATTATAGGTTCCATTCTTTTTAGTAATAACTTTTCAAAAAGTTTTGAAAAAATTGGTAGCAGAGAAATTGGTCTATAAGATTTGGCCTCATTCGAAGGTTTGCTAGGTTTTGGTACCATTATAATTTCTGCCACCTTCCAAGCATTAGTCACATATTTTAACCTGAATGCAGAATTCATTAAAAAAGTCAACAATGTTGTACCCTTTTCCGGTAATTGTTTCAGTATCTCAGAGGTAATTAAATCATAACTCTTAACTTTAAACTCTTTAATTCTTCCACTATTTCTCTTTGTGTAAATGGAGCAATAACGTTTTCCGCTCTCACGTTTCCCACTGTTGTATTTATGTTTGAGTGTATGTCATTTGGCCTAAAAATTTGTTCAAGATGATCTGCAAATATTTTAGTCTTATCCTTATTTTCTATTGTCCATTTGCCATCTGTTCCCCTAATAGGGGGAACATGTAAAATTGGCCTTTTAATATTTTTTGCAGCCCTCGATAAGGAATAATTACTTTCTTGTTCGGCTGACAAATTTTTAATGTAATGATCAAATGAATCTTCTTTTATTTTTCTTATTTTTCTTTTTATAGTCTAAGTGAGTCAATTAAGTGAAGTTTTATCTGCCGGATCTCGTGAGTTTTGCCATCTGCATCTAGCTCTTCTCTGTTCGCTTATCATATTCAGTATTTTCATTGGGTAAGTCATACCCACGAATTTATACTCATATTGTTTTGTATTATTCCACGCTGTGCTTTGTATGATTTTATTAAAATACTTGTTGAGATCAATCTAGAACCACAATCAATATGTTTGGCATTATAGTCACCTTCCAGAATAAACATTTCTTCAAGGAGATTCAGGAGATCCTTGAATGAACCACTCTTTATAACACGTCTCGGAGGACAGTAAAGTACACCAACATCGAAATTTCGTTTATAAGACTCTGTTCGTACAGCAACAAATTGTCTATTGTCTCCTTCTACTTTCCTTATTTCATTATGTTTCATACTATTCCTTATCAAAATAGCGCAACCATATTTTGATTCATTATTAGGATGCGCCGCTTTATATTCCATGTAACCATTTATTTCTATATTTGTTTGCTGTTTTAAATGAGTCTCCGTTACTAAACATACGAGTATATCAATATTTTGGGTCCTTAGGAATATTTCTAATATACGCTTATTATTAAGAACGCCATTTGCGTTCCACGTCGCATTTCTTATTTTATCTTCGTTCATTATTTTTTATTCTTTTTTGCGTACATACATAAACATTATCATGCTTGTCTTCGAATTTGTTCAATCTCAATGAGATTTCGTTCATAGTTTTTATCATATTTTGCATCATTTGCATTATATTTATATTGCTTTCAGCAGGTTTTTGAATTGGTAAATCTCTTTGTTTTTTGGTATGGTTATATGTTTCACCTCTTGCCATTTGGGCATATTGTATTCCCTGCACTTTTTTACTCAATGTAGTTGTTTTCGGAGTTTTTGAAGTTTTGGGAATATTTTTTTGTATTATTTTTATTTGTTTCTGTTTTGTAAGGTTATTTTTCCTTCTTTATAATTCCTTTGCAACTATACAACCCTTTTCTTTGCTTTTACCTCATGGTGGTGTCCGCATGATCCGAGATGTTCTATCAAAACGGTCGGTAGTAGTAGTTTGATGCAATAAGTGGTCTCCCGCAGAATTAGTGAGACCAGCCTCCGAAGAGTGTGGATTTTCCAGATTTACTGGATTACCACCCGGAGTATAAAATCCCTTTCTTTTGTTCATTGCATTGATTTAGTTTTATTTCGGAGTTTACTTTTCCTACGCTTTGGTAATAAATACCCCAATTTTTGCCGTTCTTCAGGGATCAGTCGCAGATCAGACAGCCGTCCATTCTGGATTAGACGCTTCTGGATTTGTACTGGATTTTAGTGAACACTTACCACAAGCATTCCTACTGCGGGTATTTCGCATCCCCACCCGCCGTGAAGTTTTGTAAGTTTGCAATAAGAAAAATTGTTATGTTCACTACATATTAAAATGTGGTAAGAAAAAACATTTGTCTTCCTTCACCTTGATCATATGTTTGTGATTTCTAAATTTTAGGCGAATGAGCTGTCCAATCTGTCGAATGAAAATTCTGTGTGACAATGAAATCAAAAATCAAAATAATGCGAGGGTTTTTTTTTATTTGACATTGTAGCATTTATAGTGATATAATGGTTCTAAAATTCTAATAATTATTATTGATTGTTTAAAATTAATTTAAACGTGAAAAACGAATCAAAAATAATTCGAGCACTTAACATTGCAAAAGGGATAGGAAAATTCAATTGTTTTTGCAAAAAACAATGTACATATGTGTGATGCTTCTTATCTTCGGTAGGTTTTTTAATATCTTGCGGTAACAACAATGAAAGCATCAATGAAAGCATCATTAGCCGATCATAATTTAAAATGTCATTCGATTCGTCTAGTCTATTCGACTCGCCTAGCCATTCGTTTCGCCGATCGTAATAAGGGTATATGTTAATTCAAAATAAAGGTCAAATTACTAGTTACAAATTAAATAAGTATAAATATTAATTACAAATTAAATTTGAAGAAAAACATAATTTTAATACAATACAAGTGTCCAAAAGCAATCGGGAAATGCAATCATTAATCATGAGTGCAACTAAACATTGTATCATAAATTGGCTGAGCCTCGGTAGCATTGAAATAACTTTTATGGTGTACACCATTTAATTAAATTCCATGTACCAATTGTTGCACCAATAATTTATCATGTACCTTGTTCAACATCTATCATGTACCTTGATTGGTGTCTTCGACTTTTGTTGATAATATAATTTACAGTTATTACCTCATTGGTTTCACGAAAATAATTTTCAGTTACAAAAAAAAATTTTTACAATAATTTTCTATCGAAAATGCCTGATAACTTAATTTTTGTTGAAATTAATTTCAATTTTTGATAAAATCTTTACACTTCCATTTTTTATTTTATATATTTTACCAATTTAAAAATCATTGAAGCTCAATGTTTGGTTGTACATAATATACAAATATCTTTTATATGAACAAATAATTCATGTTAAGCAACATGATATTATAATTTTTTTCAAACATGAAAATTTCAAAGAAATTTATTCCGTTCCTAAATGTAATCCTACAATTTAACTGCACAATTGAAAATATATGTTTTACATAAAACTATTATTTTTGTCTTACAACTAAATTTCATATTAACTATTTTCTTCTTTCCAAATAAATAAATTTTTTATTGAACTGATGCTAGATTTGAAATACATGTACTACAATCTTAAATCTATCGCGCATTAAAATTCCATTAAATCGTAGTCTTTAAATCTTAATCTAAAATGAATGTTGGACTTTGACGAGAAGTTGATGCAATTGGTTGATAATGATATCCTTCACGATTTTTTATTGATTTTCTATTTTGTGTTAAATTCGTCGACGCTGCTGTTTTGTTATAACTTTGACCAGGAGATTTAACTAGAAATAAATGTAAACAAACAATTTGTAAAACAATTCAACTAATAAATTCTGAATTTTTATGGTAATTAGATATAGAAAAAGTGAGATGAACAATTAATAATGCTTGAATTAAATTTTTCGATAATTTATTATTGTAATAATTTATGTACAGTTTACTTACAACTAAATTTACTTTAAGAAAAAAAAAATTTCACATAATTTTTCAGTAATTTCCAAAAAATTTTGAAAAAATGTGCCTATTACTTTCATTTTGTCTGTTTATCCGCCGGTCCTTCGGTTTACCCAACTATTTATAAAGCTCAATGTAAGTAGATCTTAGCAAATGCCCACTAGAATCCATTTCATAATCCCCTTCGTCCCTTAATTATAGAACTTCAAAGTGATAATGCAAGTTTTTTACAAAATACTCTGTCGAAATCAAAAACTTTTAGTAAATTCTGTAACGCAGTACTGTCAAAAATTATTTGTTTTAACAAAAAACACACAATCTGCGACACACAAAAAACACAAAATCTGCGAAAGCTTTCTTGATTTTGTTATGTCAAGAGTAAAGCTCCAAAAAATCATCTTTGGGATGCTATATACTTTTGCAATGTTTACTAAATTTTTTTCAGTCAAAACAGCAAATCCAGAAGTTATTCAAAAGTTAAAGTTATTTCCAGCGTTTTATTTAAAGAGGAGAAATATTTAACAAAATTACAAAAGAAATATCTAGAAAATTATAGAGATTTTCATAAACACAATACTGCAAAACAATAGTGTGATACATACACAACAGTTGTATAAAAACTTTTGCTATTTTGAACATGCAATATTATGTTCACGAGCAAAAATTGTCGTTAACAAAAAAAACTTTGTTTATTTTGGGCCAATTAGTGGAAAATTCTATTTTAGGAAAAATAAAAATTAAGAAAAACAAAAAAAGAAAACTGAAACAAAAAGAAATTTTGTTATTTTCAAGTTCAATAATTAACAATTAAAAATGTAAAACCAAACTGCAAAAACTAGTAAAAAAAATGTACAACTGATTTAACTGCGCTAACCATGATAATTTAGATATTTTTGTGATAGGTTAACAATGTTTATGAACAAACTTGATTAGCAACATTTGTTTATGTACACAAATATAGCGCAGTTTTCGCTATATATCGCGATATACTGTGTTTATGAAAAGGCCTTATGTGTACTACCAAAAACTTAGATGGAATAATGCAAAGTGAAAACATTAATAAAAAACAAAATTATAAAGAAATTTCTTAAGAGGAGAATCATGCAAAACAAAATAAGTAAAACGTAAAAGACTATGAATTTGTGGAAATTTTAAGGGAAGTTCCATGTTCGTTTCTTATGTCTTATACAGGGTGATTCGCATAAGGTAGCAAATAATTTCTGGGATGATTTTTTGATAAATTTCAAGCGATTCAATCAATCGTATTGTTGGGTGCATATATGATCGTTTTCGAGTTGCAGTTCGTTCAAAAAAGCAGATATCAGGCTTTTTATGCATATAAATAAATGCTTATTCTTAAATAAACTTCGACATCATGCAACATAGAGAAGCCATCGGGGGCTTGTTTTACAGGTATTTGATTGCTCTTTATTCGGTCTTACAATTAGATTTTAATGATAGTTTTGGATTGAATGCTCGTCAATGTCAGAATTTTTGTTTTTATTTTTTTTAAAACTCGAAATTTTTCGAAAATTTATGTTATTCTTTTTTTTGTTTTCGATGCGCTACAATAAGAACTTAAAGTTACGCCATATAAAACAAATAAGGCTTAACAAATATGTTTAAAACACATGCATAGTTTACACACTTTATACTAGTTCATACATTTTCATATTATGAATTATTTAAAATGTTAAAAATTAGATAGGTTTAGATGAAAATATCTAAACTCGTTTTTTTTAGTGGAAATTGTTACGAAAATACAGAAAGGATAACAAATGTTGAAATCAATGTATGTACATATATATTTTGTAAAATCAGACACAAGCCCATTAGTGGATATCACTCACTTCAACTACCTTGGCAGTCAAAAAATTCTTTACTGAAAATTACGATATGTTTTCTTAATATAAACATTTTTTTAGGTATATGAAAAGAAAACTCCCTTCTATTCCAAATTAAATACTTTTATTTTTGCTAATATATTTCGTGTGCTACTTGCACACACTTCATCAAAGTTGATTTTCTTCTAACTAAGACAAACATTTAAATTAAACTCTATTAAAGTTAGAAATGTTATACCTGACTTGACCTAATTTTATACCGATTGTACCCAATCTGATGTTCTTTTCAACAGTATATCTAAAAAATGTATGACTAAAAATGTATGACTCCTCAATTTTGGAGTAAATTAGATATACATTATACATGTGAGAAAGATCTTAAATTCTTCCTAGAAGTTTGTTAAAGTATTAGAATAAAAAAAATGCAAATTCCTTTCTTCGGGAATAGATAGGAAATGAACATTTTTTTTAGTATATGTTATAGCTAATGGCTTTATATCTAACAAGTCCCAATACTCAATTTTTTTTACGAAATGTTACGAATTTTTGGCCTCGTTGTTGGTTTTTTCTTTAAATGCCACTGATCGTGTCATATTTTTTATTATTTATTTCTTTTTTTTTACGTAAAAAAGAGATTAATATTTTAAAAAATCTCAGGATATTATACACATTTTTTAAAAAGCTTCCCATTTAAATTCTATTGCACGAAAAAGAAAGAAAGGTAGGAGGAAAGAAAAAATGAAAAAAAATTTCAAATTCATATTTCAGTATGGTTTCAAATGTTAATGAGGAATGATGTATGATTTTTTATGCACATTTTGTATTTCCCAATAAGGTAAGTTGAGTAGTGTCGGCTAACAAAAATGTTATTGAAAGTAATATAGGTTGACACATTTCAACAATTTGAATTATCTCATTTCGATTATTCATACGTCACTTATAAAATTGTTTCAAATAATTTCAGTTAGTTTTTAAATTATTAAAAATAAATATGTATGTACCTACTTCCAATAAATTTTTTTTTAAATAATTATTTTAAAACTATTTCAAACATGTTATATTGAGTGCTTCTAAAATTTTGCTGTGCTCTTTTTTCATATTTTATTAGCAGGTAAACAAGAGCAATCTATTTATAAAATGTCAATGCATGTGTATGTATGACCTATCTTAATTCTAAACGGAAAGAATTTTAAAATACCTGAACAAAAATTTTAAAATACCTGTTATTTTACAGTCGGAATTTTCGAGTCATTTGGTAAAATACCATTTATTTCAAAAATAGAAAAATATTCAAATCCGGTCATAAAAATATATGATTGTTTTTTCCAAACATTTTAAATATTTTTTTTTCTTAGGTAATTGATATAAATGATAGTAAGTTTTTAATATTTTTTCAAATAAAAATAGAGGTAAAATTTTGAAGTTTATATAAAATTTGTATTTAACAAATAATATTTGATTGTATTTTAGATATTATTTTCTAATTCCCTCTTCAAATTTTTTCTTTACTATGTATTTATATCAATATTTAAGAATTATCTTTCATTAATTATATTTTCAACTTGACACCACAGGTACTTCCCATATCTTGCGTTAACTTACCCTATGAGAAAAAAAAGCTGTTCACTTAAAAATAATGAAATGCTTTCAATAACAAATAAAACGTTGAAGGCGAAGGTCGAGTTTGTTGTTTTTCCGCTTTTTTTTAAATTTTAAAATAATTATCAATGAAAATATTAATATATTTTTTTGATTTTTCAAATATATGTTCTAAATTTTACCTGCTTTATAATAAGTGTGAATTTATTTTAATATTTCTTCTCAAAAAATAGCCACTTCGATTTAAAAAAGGCCATATAAAATAAGGTGTGCTTTCAAGTTTCTCTCTGAGCATTGGGACTTGTTAGATATAAAGACATTATTATAGCTTATTATATATAACAATAATTATATAATAATTACAAATCTTTATTTCAATCCTTATTCAATAGAAAATCATAAACCTAAATATATGTATAAAATATTCAAAAAATATTTCAAAAGTTATAAATATATGTAAAAATATTCAAAAGTTATTAAAAAAATTTAATACAAACTAAAATTTTAAAAAATTATTTTATAATATAATGTAAGAAAGAAATATTTATAAAATTGTTCTATTGCTAAAAGAACAAGTGGAGAACGATTAAATGATACATAAAATATGAAAACAAATTACAAATTAAACTGATTGCTGTGAAATATAAAGAAAAAAAAAAACGAATTAAATAACAATTTATAATAAAAATAATTAACAATATGTATTAAAATTAAAAAGCAAAAAAAAAAAGAAACCAAATTCAACATCCTTTAGATGCACAAAAAGAAAAATTGGACAGCAAGAGTTAAACAACAAAAAAAAAGAAAGCCACGATTCATTTCAAAACCGTAAAAATAATTTGAAAAAAAAAAAATGTTAAGAAACCATTTTCAATAAATTTTCAACGTCAGTGGAGCTTAAATTCTGTAGCCAAACTTTCATCTTCCAAAGAAAAATTGACAGTGGCCTGATGGTTTATTAATAATGATAAACTGCTAAGAATTACAACAAGACGCCTTAAATTATTCCTAAAACTATAAGCATCGGAATCTCTCATATTAAGATAACCACATCTAAGGAAAAAAACAATTTAGAGGTTATAACTACACAAACTTTTCAATGGGAGTATACGGTTTTCCAAAAACAGCTCAAAACTTGGGGCTGAGCGAGATACTTTATGAATCAGTCTCACTGCACCCTTCTGACACACCTGCAGTTTGTTAAAGTATGACCCGCCCCGGCAGACGATTTCATACTGGAATTTCCAGAATGAAAAATTGCATATTAAACCATAGAAGTGATATTATACGAACTATATAAGCTGACGTGATACAAATGCCTATGAACAATGTTAAAATAACCTCTTAAATAGAAGGTGTGAGCAGACCAATTGAATTGAGAGTCA